CGGACGTACCAATAGTTGATTAATTAAGATAGTAGTTTGATCATTTTAGTAGTTTCGTAATATTCCTCCGTTATTGATGATTTTCTAATTCTTTGATTCTTGAACGATTGCGCAACTCGTAAAGTGAACATTTTACAGTCAAACCTCCCAAAACGTGTACAAATCCACTCTCAAAACGCGTGTATATTTTCTCCTTCATCGCTTTTCCCACCACTAAGTGTGATTACAACCGAAAAACTGTGCGCTAGCGCGAGATGAATTTATCAAGCAAGTCTTTGCGCATATTTGAGGTAAAGAGTGAGAGAATAGGGGAAGTATACGTTTTTTGGGAGGTTCGACTGTATATCCGCTCTAAGGAAGAGAGAATACATATCCAGGTATCGTTTCATATTTCATCTTTTGTTAGCGGTCGATCGTTAACCGGGCGAGAAAATAAATTTGAATTTTATGGAGAATCGGTACTAAGAGTCGAAATTCTTAGAGTTTTATTGTATCGCGCAATGTGCGATACACGTGTGCGGAACAGCGCGAGGAGAGAGACGGGAGGAGCGGAAACCGACAGCAAAATATGTCCGCATCCGCATACTTCGGTATTGTTGAACACCGAAGCGCACATGTGTGATACAAGTGGAGGGGAAAAGAGGAGGCATCAGCCGCGTTCCTCTCCTTCCAAAACCCGACGGACGGTGTATTTCGCGTTTATCTACATTACTGTATGAGGAAGTAAAGAAACGACTGACTACGTGCCGTGACAGAAATATGTTCGTTTGTATTTTCGCGAGATTGCGAGCATTCGGTGTCGTTCCATTACGCGCGTTTTCACACAGCAGCGCGGCGATGAGAAATACACGTTTTGTTAAAAAAAAAAAAAAAAAAAAAAAAAACGTACGAGCCATCGCGCGCGCGCACGCTTTTGTTTCGATTTGGTTTTTATCACGTTTTACAGTCAGTTTTTAGTAGAATATTGTTTCTGCTCTCTTCTGGATTAGAAGCGAAATATATGTAACGGACGGTCTAATTTCTCAAATGTCCATCTACGAACCGGAAGTGTCGGAGAAAAACGCGCGCACGCACGCGGTATTATAACAGTCGGATGAAACTCGCGCCGAAATATCGCGAAATTCTAACAACCATAGCGATGCTATGTGGAAACGACGAGGCGCGCGCGCGCACAGCTCGCGTTCACAAATCGCGTAGATCGTATTTAACGAAATTGGTTTTATTCGCGTCGATTGCACCGTTTAATACTCGCCTCGCGCGGAAATATCGTAGGATTTTTTACGTTTTGACTATATTTTTCGACGGATTATCTTTCCGTTCGGTTAAATCAACGTAATTTTATCGCAATTGAATCTGTTTGCTACGCGCGCGGTCACGAAAATCAACGTTATTTTCGGGATTTTTATTCCACGTAAGTTTAAATATCGACACGTGTTGAAGATTCCGCCGCTATTTTTCATCAACGTACGAGAAGTCTTAAATCGATTCAAAAAAAAAAAAAAAAACCCAAGTGGATCATTAGCTAAAATCGTGTAATTAATTTTCCGAGAATTAATTGCCGGGAGTCTTTGAGCGAGCGGTATTTTGACGCAAATTGGTTTTTCTCGAATAAATAGCAAGTTAATTTATTTATGAAGTTATTATTTATTGCAAATAATTATAACGAACATGAGTATGTGAATTTTCTCACAATGTTTACCTTGAAAAAAGAAACTGATTTATATTTGTTATTATGAATTTGTTTGTTTACATCCGATATATACACACGGATAAATTTTACCGTCATTTAGACATCAAGAATATTAAGATCAAGAAATATTAATCTTTATGCGGTCGAATTATCGCAATTTACCTGAGGAGTTGGACGTTAAAAGCTAAGGAGTATTCAAATTCATATTTCTCTTCGTTATGCCGCTCTCTCGATGCGATGGATTCCCGACTTTCTTTGCTCGTAACACAGAGAAGACGAGTTGTTAAAACTTTATTATAAATTTCAAAGTTGGGAAAGCGGGGAAGCGATGAGATGATGGTGGCGGAACAAAAAGAGCAAACGCGGCCACTTTCCATCAGAAAGAAAGTCTTGCTAATTACAGAGAGGGAAAGAATATAAAATTTTTCTTGTGAATTCATATTAGTATTGTGTATCGCACGGAATATATATATATATATATATATATATATATGTATATAAATTTTTTTTACGATGTCTGTCTATCGTTTGAAATATATGCAAAAACTTGTTTCTTTTAATATAATATAAATTTTTATTTTCTTTTCACATATTTGTCTTGTCGTACCTGCTGAATTAACATCGCATTACGCGACAATTTCACGAATGAATTTATATCGTTATTTTATAAATACTTATATATCGTTGATATAATTTAAATACTCTTTTCATTCGGGAACTACTCATCAAAAGCTCATTAAGCTGTTTTTCTTCTTATAATTTAGAAATATTAATAAGTGCTCTTTTTCTCTCTCTCTCTCTCTCTCTCTCTCTCTCTAAGTGCAGTCGATATATAGACCGGACTGACCTTATTTACCGGTTTCATAAAATATATTACCGCCATCATATTGGCTTGTACCGCTTGCTGAAACGAGGCGCCTTTATGAAAGTATAAAAATCCATCGTCCCAATTGACGTCGCCGAGCAAGGCAATTTTCGTGTTGCGTGGCGCGTTTCCTACTTTCAAAGGAGAATTGCTGAAACGTAAAGTGTTTCGTTAAATTAGCTTTCTTCACGAATAATTAGTCGTAAAAGGCCACGCTATCCGAGTATAAAAAAAAAAAAAAAAAAAACTTATAACCCGTCGGGCGGTCTCGAGAGTTTTAAATATACAGGTGTGTTGTGGGCGCGCGGAATTGACGCAAGGGGATGGTGGCGGAACCCCGAGTATTGCGTCTCTCAAAAGAAGTCTCCGGAAAACTCACCACCGTGCGCCGTCATGTCGGTCTACATTTTTCAGGATGCCTTTCAAACGAAAATTAAGCAGGAAAAAGCTTTCACAACTCTCTTTCCGCAAGTCTTATTCTCGGTAAACATGGAAATTCGCATCTTCCTGCTATCAGCAGACTTAACTGACACGATCGTCAGGTCGAATGAAAAAAATGTTTTGGAAAACGCAATATACCGTCAAATGTGTTTTTTACAAGGAATTTCACATTTTTACGACAATCTTTTTTTGCAACATCTGTTCGTGTGTGATAGAAATTTCTTTTCTCTCCGATATTCTCTCCGGTATTCTAATCATATCTTTTTATGAGATGCATATGCGTTAAAGTATTAGTCGCACAAAAACAATGTTTGTTATTAACGTCAAGCGTATGTGTACAATTTTTATTATCTTAAAAAATAACTTTATGTGCATTTGGCAGTAGTTAAATATTTATCGTTTATATTTTTTATTTTTTTTTGTCACAATTCCGAGCGCACTGCAGCTCTTTTGTATGTAGCACGATATTCGCGGCACCGTCTGTTTCTTTCTCATTTCTCTGAGGAGTTCGTGTGTAACATGTGCACTATATTAAACACGCTCGGAGTTCTTTTTATTCGAGCAAACTCATTACGCGTGTAAGTCGCTCGAACGAAATGAGTTGTTTATTTTTTTTTTTAACCCGCTTGCATATCAAGTATAAATGACGTAGCGTTTTAATGCCCGTCGCGATATTAAATTTGTACTCAAAATGAATGAACAAAGTTTGTGCAAAACAGTATTTCAGTGTTGTTTTTCGAATCACGGAAAGAGAAGAAAACAATACGTACGGATGTGTAATTTTGTAAATTTTATTGTTTAATATGATTTGGACGCGAAAGAATTGTATGTTGATGCGAGGAGAGAAAATAACGATTGTTTTGTAATAACGCAGCTTCGTCAAAAGCACAAAGGCCGGGCAAACATAAAATATTAAACATTTTACGGGCGAAAATGTAGAATTTATTATACGACAAAAAGAGAGACGGAGAAAGAGAGAGAGAGAGAGAGAGAGAAATTTTTTTTTTTTTTCAAAGAACATAAAACAATGTTCGGTTTTAACGTGAAACTGCAATCACGTTTGAAAGCGTTGCTGTTTCCGTTAGGATTAGCATCCAATACGCGACGAGCAAGTACACAACATTATTTGCGAACAAGCCGTCAACGCGTTGCAATAAACGAGAATGCGAGCGCGACGAAAGATTTAAACGTTACCCCCCAACGTGTGTGTAAACACGTTTCCGACGCGTGAAAATGAGCGCGGGCGCGGAACCGCCCGCAGTAACGCGCAAAATATCACAATTTCCTAAAATATTGCGTGACAATATGTTTCTGATGTCGCTCTCACAAGAGGCGGAAAGTCAACCCCGCGGGAGCTTTGCTCCCATTCGTGGCTCGTTGCGAACATTCCCGGATGTTTCACAGTGTAGCCCGGAGGTACCGCGTAATAAGAGCCTCATACTGTGCCAAGGAGTTGCAGAGATCGGCTCACTTCTCTCTCTCGCGCTCTCTCTATCTCTATCTCTCTATCTCTCTCGCTCTCTCTCTTTGTTTTAATACGAATGGCATCGAGCGCTCGGATTCCTTCCGGCTTAATAGGTCGAATCGTCGATAATCCTCCTATAACGGATTCTCAGCAAAAAACACCGCGTTTATTCGAGCGCGAGGGTTAGTTTGCGGAGCAACTCGCGTACGCGAAGAGGGAGGAAGAAGAAAGGCGAAGCGCGCAACGGGGGTTGAGTTTAATATATGTATGCGAGTGTGTGTGTACGAGTGTGTCTCGTGTGCGGACGTGAGAGAATCTTCGCGCGCGTGCGTGTGTTTTGCGGTCGTGGTTCACCGTCGCGCGAGAGGAAGCTGCGAAGAGAGAGAGATGCGACGGGAGGGGAAATTGTCATTCGGCGGAATTGCAATTTCTCGCTGACGCGTGCTGTGCGCCAACCCTCTCTCGCGCGACGAGTAAAAGCGGACTAATGATGCGCACTAGACTTAATGCCTCGTTCCTGTTCTCATTTTCTCCAAAAGGTGCGAGCTGCCTGCAGGGGGTCAGAATGGAAATAGTGCCCGAGGTGGTGCAGCGTGGGCAGGGAGTGATTCTGCGGTGCTATTATGACCTGGAAAACGCGCCACTCTATTCTCTCAAGTGGTACAGAGGAAAGCACGAGTTCTACCGATACTCGCCCGGCGACGACCCGCAGATCAAAGTCTTCAACGTGAAATTGATTCACGTCGACGTAAGTTGATTCTCTCTCACTCTGCTTTTATATACATAATAATCATCAACACGATCGCGCGTATTGAATGAACATAAATCTTCGCTTTTATATTTCACGCTGTTTATGTTTGATAAACATAACAATAATAAACATAACAATAATGACAACAGATAATGTTTCTCAACGAAAACGCGCTGATTACACGTCACGCGCTGCATGTTCTATTTGCTGTGGCTTTTCCGCGACTCGTATGTATATGCAACCAACTGTAAATATATCCGTCTCTTTTAAATGTCATTATACGTGTCAATATATAAAGAAGGGCGTGTTCAGCTCTAAACGATCGGTCGCGTTGCACGTCCGTCGGGACGTATTTAGTAATTGGGACACACTCTCCGCACAACGCGAGTCAACGACCGTGAAACTATATATACGGTTATTTTTTTTTATTTTTTTATTTATTTTTTTCTCGGTCCGAGCAGCGCGTGGATTGACGAGGGCAGGAGGTTGGCGGAAATATGTGGTTTCACCGTATCACCGTAAACGCAAACCGCAACGCGCCGGCCCGATGCCTCGTTAACAGCACCCTTGACCGCTGTAATCGCCGTAAAACAGTCGGCAGCCCCGGTAGCGCGCTTTTATCATCGCTCCAACATTTCCGTAGGCCGTTTACGCGCGTCGCTCGGACCAACTCCCGCACCCCCGGCGGTTTTCGGGAGTGGCGCGGCGGCGCCGCTGTGTGTGCACCACACGCGCTCACGCCGCACCAAAAACAAGCCCCGACGGTTCCCGTTGTGTGTTTCGGTACAGTCGAATGAACGACCTGACAAACCGTGACAACACGCGCCGCGCGCGCGTTCCCGTTTACGTTTATCGTTTCGGAACACGGACAGCGGGAGCGGATTTCTCCGGTGACGAACGAGAAGTAATGCGCCGCACCGTGAGGGATATAAAAGCCTCGATTTCGAAAAATACGCGCTCGCCCGTGCGACACCCCGTCCCTCGAGATAAAGAGAAAGAGATAAAGAGAAAGAGAGAGAACGTGTGTAGATTTTGAGCGAAAAAATTGTTTTGTTACTTGCTCGGAGTTTTTTTTTTTTTTTTTTTTTTTTTTTTGTTCCTGACCATGTGATATTTGATTTACCGCGTATGTCGGTCGGATCTACATCGGAAATACATGTTTCGCCGGGATTTCGATGCTTTGCCTTGCTTCCGCGTTTGTTAATACCGCAGCACTCCAACCGCGCTACAGACAGATACATTTTATTTAATAGACGTTTATATTGGGAGTGAATTGTTAAAGCGCCGCGCGCGCTCGCATAGCGGAACGCCCGCCCGCATCCGGAAGGATCGTCGGCGCACTTTTTATCAAATTTTCTGGTCGCCGTATAATGTTTGACCGTGATCGTGTGTGTATATATATATATATATGTCGTGAAACGCGATAAACGTGAAAATCGTTATTATATTGGCGTGCGCGCCGGCAACACAGTTCAAATGCGAAACCGAAAACTTCTCTCGTATAACAAAATTCCGTTTCGCGCGCGCGTACGCAAAGAGCATTCGTATTTTGCGGGGCAGGTATTTCCACGCGCGTGGTAATTTCACGTACGCGCGTGTGTGTATCGCGAAAGTGCGAAACAGCGAGTTAACCGATTCGACTCGGCGCGTTTGCGGAGAGAATCCCGAAACATTTACACGAGTCAACAAAGCGCCACTGACCGGGTGTGTAACACAGAGCGCATTATGCACTACGTTAAAAGCGCGTGTTCGTGATGAGATATAAAGCCGCCCCGGACGGTGTGTGCGCATCCTCGTATCGGCGTATTTAACGTGGCTTGTAGCCATCGCGCAAATCCGAGCTTTCGTCGGATAAATCGTCGACAATTTTCGCGGCGTTACGATCGCAAATGAAAAGAGCCGCGAGATCGGCTCTGGTAACTCGTCCGCGATTCGCGATTGTAATCGCGGCGACAACGTTACGCGCGCGTCGTTTCATTCTCCAACGCAAAAGACCGCACCGCGGTCCTATTATTCCGCAATAGCGTGTTTCCCCGAAGTCGTGACGGTTTTCGTTCCCGATGTATCTACTTGCAATTCTCCGAGCAAAACCAAGTAGCTCGTTGAAGAAGTATAGTAGATATCGCGTTTCCAGCATATTGACATTGCCGTCGTCGTCGTCGTCGTCGTTCGAGCAGCAGCAATTCAGTCAAGTATCGGACAAGAACGATCTATAAAAAGGACGAAAATTTGTTGCAACGGACGCCTGGCTGCTGCAGCTCGATCGTATTTCGTCTGATGTAGAAAGAATTGCGAGTAACGATTTTACGTCACGGACGTATTAAAAATCTACCTCGCTCACATAGAAAGAGATGGTATAAAGGCAACTTAATAAAAGTGATAAAACGTTACGAATTGATGAGGAAAAAAAAAAAAATGTGAAAATATAATTTCGCATTAAAATGATTAATTTTACGATTGATGAGAACTAGACGATGGCAATATATTTCGGAAAATTTAATTTCATCGCGTATTAAAATTCTACCACACAGATGAAGACTATTGAATTAATTTTGTACAAATGACAAGTTTCACGCGATTGATGCGAAATGATACAGCAAAATGGAGAATTTGATTTGTCACATTTAAAACGTAGCCAGCACACACACACACACACACACACACACAGTACAATTTTGTGCGTCCGTTGCGATTCGATATTTTTCTGGTAGCGTTCGATATATGTGTATAATATAATCGCCCGCTTGCTCGAGATGCAGTTCGAAATGCTTCATTAATTTTTCATGCGCGCATCGGATTGATACCTTGTCCGACAGAATTGATGTCTCGCACGGGAGTTGTTGTAGTCCGAACATTAGCGGTCTGCGAGCGATCGATTCATACGCCGCGCAAATATTGGTTATCTCACGCGCGTGGATATCAGGTGTCATCGTCAGGATTGGGAGGAGGGACGACAAGACGCAACACGCCGGGAAATTATTCTCTGGATATCACGAGCCGAGCGAGAAAGAGAGAGAGACACGGAGAAAAAGGTTTCATATTTATTCCTCCCGTGCGGCGCGTGTGAGCCCCCGAGCTTTTGTTTTTCTGTTTCTGTGAAGTCGGTGAGTGCGTCCACATAAATCAACGACGGAAAGAGCTCGCTTGCCTTTCACGCTCGTCAAAGAGTACGCCTCACGGTTAACTCTTTCTCTTTCTCTCGTTCCCCAACCATCGACGCGTCGTCCCATCGCGCTCACTTGTACCTCTTTCATTATTTAAGCCCCGCTAATTATGCATGCTTCGTTTTGCCTGTTCCGATTAAACCTTGCTCCTCCTCGGACTATCTCTCTCTCTCTCTCTCTATCTTCTCTTCTCTTCTCTTCTCTTCTCTTTCTCTGTTCCTTTTTTGCCTATGAAGCCGCTTCAGACCTGCTTCCGTTACCAAGCTTGGCTTCTCGGGCCACTTTAGACGAGTGCCGGATAATTCCTGATAAGGTGGCTGTTCTCTCGAGTGGACTATCCTTCGACGCGACGAAAGCCAGGATATTCGTGGAATATTTAGTGACACGGCGAACGTCTTGTTTTTTCAAGAGATTTTATCTCTCTTTAGATTATCCGCGAAAAATTATATACTTCTCGCCAATAATTTTGTTTTTATAAATATTCTTTTCGAACAATTGAGAGTAATTTTATATAACAGTTATATATAAAATTATAGTCACGACAAGAAGAATTAACATAAGAATATTATTTAACAACAGATATATGAGATCGTGTAATCATGTGTGTGTGTGTGTGTCTGGCGAGACACACGAGTATCATATTACGGTCAAAACACGTTATCTGCATGTAAGTGTCACGTTGCGATTTCGCGACCATAGTAGCAACGTAGGTCACAGTGCAATACGTGTGTGCTTCCATTTTCCCCCTTTCCTCTTACATCTCATTCGGACGTGTGTGTGTGTGTATATGTTTCAGAGAGCAAAGTCGAACACGAGCCAGGTAACGCTCTATGATGTAGACTTCTACCTCGCGGGAACGTTCAGCTGCGAAGTTACGGCGGACGCGCCGACCTTCTCTACACTTGCCGATTCGAAGAATCTCACCGTTGTGTGTAAGTACATGCTTCACATTATCGCGAAAACTTTGCACATAATAGGAGATAATAGGAGTAGATTTCTGTTTCCTGTGTGTTATTCACGACGTACGAAGAAGAAAGTAACTCTCGATCTTCGAAAATTTAACGCTTTCTCGTATCTGACTCAGTAAACACGTATTTAAACATATTTTAAATACATTTCATATATTAAACTAATTTTTTTACGGTATATATTTGAATTTTGTGAGATAACAATGTTCTCGCGACATTGTTCTAAGATACATGTGCGAAGAAATAGTAAAATTAAACACGTAGCTCGAAAGAAGAAATTTTTTTCCTAGAAATATCAAAACCGCATAATACGATTTCGTAACGAGTAATTAAAAATTCGCTAGTATTCCTCTGAATCTTCTATGAAATATAATTTTTAGAGAATTCCGAGATTAGACATATTTGATGCTGCGCGCGTAAAATCAGGTCAGCGGTCGTGTCTTTTTTTTTTTTTTATCTCTGTTTAAGTAAACGTAAAAAGTTTTTGTATAATGTTTCACAGTTTTTGTATGTGTGTGTGTGTGTGTACGTGTACGTGTACGATATGGTTTTAAAAAAATTACGTGCAACGCATAATTAAAGCCGGCATAAATATTCTTTCACATGTATTTTCTTTTAAGCGCTGCGCGCACTTCCGAATGAAATGGGCAGTTGACTCGTAGAAACCGCTTCTATTTAAATGTAAAAATGGAGTTGGCTCACTTTTTGCGCTAATAGCCTCTTTTATGGGGAGAAAAATTGCAGTAGTTTGTTAACATATTAATATTTGAAATTCACATAGTTTAAACGAACAGCTGTCATTACGCACCTTTGTCTTTGGTCAATTTAAACTGGGATAAAGAACTTAATTACTTGCTTACACCTCCACATTGTGGAATATTTGTTATTTAAATCGCGACGTCCCTTGAATTTAACGGTTTACGAGAACAGTTGTAAAATTAATTTCTAAATGCATTGGCAGCGTGCACCTGCGCTTTTTATATAATATTCGCAAAAGTAATTTCGTGTATTTGCCCGCGAACCATCGCTAATTGAAATTAAATTTTTCATTTAATAAGATGCGCGCGAAAAATCGAGTTTATACATCCTCGACTTTACTTATGCTGATTTACTCGTCTCGGTAATGCATATTCACGCAAAACAAGTCGTAAGTCGACGCGCGTTCAAAGAGCTATGCATATTATGCGCAGCAAAGTGCGCATCTGGCAATGGAAGTTCTCTCATCGTCGTCATCATCGTCGTCGTCGTCGTCGTCGTCGTCGTCGTCGTCGTCGTCGTCGTCGTCGTCGTCGTCGTCGTCGTCGTCGTCGNGTCGTCGTCGTCGTCGTCGTCGTCGTCGTCGTCGTCGTCGTCGTCGTCGTCGTCGTCGTCGTCGTCGTCGTCGTCGTCGTCGTCGTCATCGTTATTAACTCTGTCGCGTTTGATCCGCCTATTGAATCTAATCCGTGTGTCGTCCTCTTCATCGCTGAATTGATATCGGCTTGTCGAGCGTTCACTTAGCGCGATATATGCATATAATATATGTATATATATTTGGCGGAGTGCTTTCGTTTTGATTTGTATGTGTGTGTGTGTGTGTACAGGAAATAATTTTCCGCGCATATTTCTAATTGACGCAAATAAATTTATATTAGATTATTTGCACACATATATGAATTTGTTTCAAGTAGTCAATATCGCGCGTATCAAATCTTGTATTTCAAATAAGATAGAAATTTTATACTTGAGAATATTTTATTTTGACAAAATTTTTAATTTTTACGCGCAGAACAGTGAATATTGCGATTATCGAACGATTTATTAATTTCGTACATTGTGCGAGAGAAAAACGGGTGTAATTAATTACACGAAATTTGAAGTTAAATTTGTGTAATTAAAAGTGTGTCGTTTTGCATTCCGTTGATAATTGCGTGACAAACAAACTGGATAAAGTGAATTGCAAATCACTCATTTAATGCGCATAACTGATGGATTCCGTAACGAATATTAATCAAATTATTTATCATACGCGACATGTAAATATTACAAGTATTACATATTTATATTGAATAAAAATGTACTCTATGCGCGTTAACTTGTTTATCACATCATTTATATAATCCATAAAATTGAATAGCGTGTATTGCTCGAATTTTACAATTAAAAAGAAAATCTCTGGATAAAAATTATGTGAAAATGAATTTTTTACGACGAATCGCGTGGAAACGCGATGTTTGTTTCAACAGATGTTTTATTTTCGCAATGAAACTTCTCTTGTTATTTCTTCGTCATATTTGTTAAATTTATGTTATCGTGGAGAATCTATATTCGCTGCTATATAGCCGATTGGATTTACGAGCATCTGGAGATTTTTACTCAGCGTTCGCGCTATTGAACGTGTAAGGGTCTCGCGATTTATTCAAAGACGAGGCGACCGCGAGATAGTAATTTCGCCATATATCTGCGTCCGCCCGAGCACCTTTAAATCTTCCCGCTATAAGTTACCGACGCATTGTCGGGGCTATATACCAGATGCTCTCGAGATATCTCTTCTTCCTCTCCCCTTCTCTGTAAACTGCGGGAAATCGAAGATTTTCGCAGTGCGACGACGTGGTGGCATTAGGGATGCGCGAGTTGTGCATTGCAGAGACGCGATTTGCAAGGCGAGAGAATTGAAACTCTCTCTCCTTTCGTATATAGCATAATTAAGAAACTTGCACGCGCATACGCGTTTGTAAATTTCCGTCCTTCATTTCCCTCCGATTGCTTATTAAAATTAAAATCAAAATGGATATAAGAATTTTGGGATTCTTAATTTATCAATTAATCGAAAAAAGGATCAATTTTCTATTTACTTTCTATTTATCGAATTAATCAAAAGGTGTTATTTTTATTTTTAAAAGTTTTCCGAATAATTTTGATATCAGACTCTAAGTGTCGTTTATAAAACGTTTTTTTTGCAACTTTTGATTTGTTGATATTTAAATTACTTTTTGTTTTTGTTTTGAAATATTTGGAAAAAATTGACGTATGACGATTTCCAATAACTTTTTTCAAGTAGCGTATGCGTACCGAACATCACAAAAGTAATATCCAACACACGTGTTGTAGGGACAACCATCGCGATGGGCTTATCTTCATTATGGTTTCTAAAATTGTTAAGTTAGGTTAGGATTAGGTTATATATAAAATTATAGTATGGTTTTTAAAATTTAAAATTTTCTTTTTGAAATTCGAAGCTTTGTTTTTGTCAGGTTATTTAGCAAGAAAAAGTACACAACATTATAACTCAAATTTTTTCAGAATAAAATCAGTTTGAAAAGCAAAAAGTTTATTTTCTGTGACGTGATGTTTAATATTCTCACACAATAATACGTAATCGCGTGCGCGCATACGTGGATTTATGTCAACATATATAATATTTTGGTTTGTTTATCAGAAAAAGATTTTCCCAATATATATTTTATTTTTGTACACACGCGTTGCACAGTTATTATTTTATTTGTTTTTCGCAGCTAGCAAGTTTCATAAATATCATGTACAACAAAATATATAACAATTTCAGCTTTTTTTTTTACAAAAGCGAGTAACAAAAGAGAAAAATATAGTAATTACAAAATCGTATTGCGTATGGGATAATTTGGGTTTTTATTTACGCATATGTTTTGAAGCGCGTAAGATGTGGATTTTCGTTCTATATAGAAGAACAATTTCGCGTTATTGTTAGATTGCAAATACACGAGGCGCTCGCGCGACGAAAATGAGGTGGGTTTTTTTTCCTCTCGATCGCTTCGAGCCAGAGATTCGAGCGGAAATATATTCGCGGAACGGAATTTCACATATATATTGAAATTAGAAAACCTACGCGTCGCGAAACTTATTCGTGAAATATGCAACGCGATCTTTCTGGATCTTTTCTGTCCCGGAAGGAAAAGAGTTTATTTCGCAACTTCCGTGACATCGAGTGAGTTCAATGAAAAGGATCCTATATAACGTCTTAAAGCGCGACGGCGACGATTCTGCGCGCTGGAAAAATGCTTGGATATCAGAAATTCTGTTCTCTCTCCTCGCGCGTTTTTCCCTCCCTCTCTCCCTTCTTTCCCCACATCGCTGCATCTTCCGCGCAAAGTGGAAACAGAGTGCTGAGTCTGCCGACACATTCGAAATTTACATCGCTTGTGTATACATGCATTAGGAATAACCTTGCATTGTACTACACATGTTCAATAAATGTCGCGCGATTAATTATTACTGCTCGCTAAAGACCTCTAATGTAAATTTAGATTATTATTAATACAATAGTTTCGGTTCCTTGAACGGTGTTGCACGGTATGGGTAATAGCAGAGTCGCATAACTCGTGTGTGAAAGGTATCACTGAATTACTTAAAGTATATATATATATAGGGAGTGCATTGTGCTCTAAGCGTGCACAACGCCGTGAGTAACACGGTGCGCTCCATCACTTCATTATTTCATGTCCAAACGCGAGGTACGCCATTTCTAGAAAGCGTTCCATCAGAAAGAAAATTCTCCCGGAAACCTCGTTAAGAAGAACGCGAAACGTTGGGATATCCTTTGAAATTGCACAACGCTGTCCGTAAAAGTAACTTGGTGTTTTTTTTTTTTTTTTTTTTTTTTTTTTTTTTATATACAATAGCGTTACGTGACAGTTGGATGTATGATGCGTAAGTTTTCCTTCGCCACCACCTCATTGTCCTGGGCACCATAGCTTTTTCAGTATTTATTCGATCCCATAACGAATCTCGAGATGCTTCCCTTTTCTCGTGGAGATCTGAGAAAACGGGCGTTTTCTTCTCGTAACCTCGTGAATTTTTCAGATCTAATATCGCGGCAATTAAGGCGCGCATTAAACTTCTATTAGAGGAAAATTTGCTTGTGAAATTAATTGTTGAACAAGAGGGTGCCTTTTGCATTCTTGAGACTTAATTCGCCCGAACATTCTTAATTTTCAATGTTAAATATC